AGATGGTACAGCTTTTGTGCTCGAGAAAGTTTAGGATGGTTGATATACACGGCAGTGAACATGTCCTGGAAGGACGGCCATTGATCATAACCTCCATGAAAAACTTCAGTATCACAAGCTGGTACTTTTAAAAATATACCTGTATCTAGGTTTTCTTTTGGATTTGTAACTACTCTCGGAGGAGGAGTAGTGGCTCTACATGGCCTTAATAAATTTATTTGGTCTAATAAAGCCTTCGTAGTTTCGTACTGATCGAGGCAGTTTTCATATTTGGATGATGCCGAAGCTTTAATGTTTTCTGGGAGTTCAGCGTCGTCTGTATCTAATATTTTATCGTACGCAGTCAGAACGCGTGCCCATATATTATCTATGCTTTGAATTTTTAAATTTAGGACTGATTCTGTATTGTCGTTAATAGACGAAGCCGAAAACCGTGTGCAGTATCTAATAAAACTGTCACTTTCAGTTATGAACCTTGACAGTGAATTGTCTTTGGTTCTTTTTTGTTTTGCACCCTGCTTTGAGCGTGTAGCTTCTGCGGGTGTGCCTTGTGCTTTATCATAATCAGCTATTTTTGGAATTTCTAATGATAGAGGTGTTCGTGGTTTAACCTCTTTGATTTATCAGATTGCATTTATAACTCTTTGAACTAAATTGAAAGCTATTAGCTTGCTATTAAAATAGTTTTGTATTAAATATTTGCTATAATACGGTTGTAGTAAAAAATTTTAGTTTGCTGCCCAAAGCTGTAGTTAAAAAAATTTTTTTTTTTGTTGAAACTGATTGTAAAATTAGTTTGTATATGCTAATCCGTTTTGACCGTATACTTTTTAGTTATATTGGCATGTGAACATATACATATATGTACATGCATACATGCAACGCGTTTTTGTAAAGTTTTGCTGAGTGCCTATATTTATATATATATATAGTTGTAAATATATTACTTTTTATACTCTCGCAACCTGTTGCTACAGAGTATAATAGTTTTGTTCACCTAACGGTTGCTTGTATCACCTAAAACTAATCGAGTTAGATATAGGGTTATGTATATAAAAATGATCAGGATGAAGAGACGAGTTGAAATCCGGGTGACTGTCTGTCCGTCCGTCCGTCTGTCCGTCCGTCTGTCCGTCCGTGCAAGCTCTAACTTGAGTAAAAATTGAGATATCTTTATGAAACTTGGTAGACACGTTTCTTGATACCGTGAGACGGTTGGTATTGCAGATGGGCGTAATCGGACCACTGCCACGCCCACAAAACGCTTTTATTCAAAAACAAATAAGTTGCTATAACTAAGCTCCACAACAAGATACAAGACTCTTATTTGGTATACAGGATCACAATAGAGAGGGGCATCTGCAGTTAAAATTTTTTTTTTAAAGTGGCCGTGGTCCCGCTCCTAATAGGTTTAATGTGCATATCTCCTAAACCGCTAATGCAATAATAACAAAATTCACTGGGAGCAAATGTTAGAACCTCTACCTACAGTGTGAAAATGGGTGAAATCGGGTGGCAACGCCGCCCACTCCCCATATAACGGTACTGTTAAAAACTACTAAAACGCGATAAATCAAGCACTAAACACGCCAGAGACATTAAATTTTATCTCTGGGATGGTATGAGATGACTTTATAGGAACCGCGTTCAAAATTGGACAGTGGGCGTGGCACAGCCCACCTTTAGGTGAAAACCCATATCTTGAGATCTGCTTAACCGATTTCAACCAAATTCGGTGCATGACGTTCTTTTCATATTTCTATGTCATAGTGCGAAAATGGGCGAAATCAACCACGCCTATTTCGCATATAACACCATTTTCAACTTCATCTGATTCTTTCACTTTCCACTATGCAAATCAGGCAACAATGACTGTATCGGGATAAAACTTTGCGTGAATAATGCGATTAAAGTATGCCACCATGTGGCCAAAAATTGTCTAAATCGAACCAAAACTGTTCAAACCCCTAAGTACTAAATATGTGGACCCCAGTGCCTATAGTTGACCTTCTACCGAAAATATCAGTCAATCCACAAAGAAATCTCAAACGAGTATACCATTTGACTTTGCGAGAGTATAAAATGTTCGGTTACATCCGAACTTAGCCCTTCCTTACTTGTTATGTATATTTTTTATGAGAATATATAAGAGAAATGAGAAGAGCAAAGGAAAAGAAAATATGTGTAAATACGATAATGTTATTGTTGTTTTTTTTTTCTTTCTGCCTTTGCTTATATGTTCTGAGCGATCCTGCTTGCTGCTTTATGGGCTTAAGGAATATCGCTGGAAAGTTTGCAAGTCGATGAACTTGACTTATAAAATTGTTTTTGTATTTTGTCTTGTGGTGTGTTTGGAGACACGAATTAAGCAGGCAGGTATTTGAACAACAGTAATTTTTTTGGAACTTTTAGAATTAGTTAATTTATGTATGTACCATATGATTATGTAGGCATGTTAGAAAATATGTTACTTGCGATTAATAGCAAAAGGCAAAGTTTTAAAGCGCAAAAAATTTTGTATTTAAATTATAGGTATATGCACATATGTATGTATGTATTTCTGTAATATGTTTAATTTTTTGTTTTTCTTAGCCTTTGCTTATGTGCTTTAGGTGATCCTGTTTGTTACTTGATTAGCCCAAGGGGTATCGCTGGAAATATTGCAAGTAGGAATACTTGACTTTGCAAATTTTTTTTTTTTTTTAAAGAATATAACGGTGTGTTTGGAGACACAAAATAAGCTGAGGCAGATACCGTATATTGTTTTCTTTTTCAGTTATTTTGTTCGGTTATTTATTTCTAACGAAATACCGATAAAACTGTAAATCAACATACATATGTGCATAAAATGCCTCTATTTTAAAATGTAATTGGAATGGACTCACTTTTTTTCCGCCAAGGGTTTTTGGGGGTAATACTTATGAATGTGTATGCTTCTTCTCTGTTTTAATTTTGTTCTTGTCTCCGGCGTTTTTCCTGTGCGTTACTGTCCTCCTCTCTGCGTGCTTGGTGGATTTAATTCCCGTGCTTTTTGTTGATTTTTATACTGTCGCAACCTGTTGCTACAGAGTATAATAGTTTTGTTCACCTAACGGTTGTTTGTATCACCTAAAATTAATCGAGTTAGATATAGGGTTATGTATATATAAATGATCAGGATGAAGAGACGAGTTGAAATCCGGGTGACTGTCTGTCCGTCCGTCCGTCTGTCCGTCCGTCCGTGCAAGCTCTAACTTGAGTAAAAATTGAGATATCTTTATGAAACTTGGTAGACATGTTTCATGGTACCGTGAGACGGTTGGTATTGCAGATGGGCGTAATCGGACCACTGCCACGCCCACAAAACGCCATTAATCAAAAACAAATAACTTGCCATAACTAAGCTCCGCAATAAGATACAAGACTGTTATTTGGTACACAGGATCACATTAGGGAGGGGCATCTGCAGTTAAAATTTTTTTTTAAAAAGTTTGCGTGGTCCCGCCTCTAATAGGTTTAATGTGCATATCTCCTAAACCGCTAATGCTGTAATAACAAAATTCACTGGAAGCAAATGTCTTTAGCACTTCTATTGACGGTGTGAAAATAGTTGAAATCGGGTGGCAACTCCGCCCACTCCCCATATAACGGTACTGTTAAAAACTACTAAAAGCGCGATAAATCAAGCACTAAACACGCCAGAGACATTAAATTTTATCTCTGAGATGGTATAACGCCTACTTTCCATATAACACCATTTTAAATTCCATCTGATTATTTCACTTTCCACTATGCAAATCAGGCAACAATGACTGTATCGAGATAAAACTTTGCGTGAATAATGCGATTAAAGTATGCCACCTTGTGGCCAAAAATTGTCTAAATCGAACCAAAACTGTTTAAGCCCCTAAGTACTAAATATGTGGACCCCAGTGCCTATAGTTGACCTTCTACCGAAAATATCAGCCAATCCACAAAGAAATCTCAAACGAGTATACTATTTGACTTTGCGAGAGTATAAAATGTTCGGTTACATCCGAACTTAGCCCTTCCTTACTTGTTTTTCTTTAGGTTCCTTTCAAAGAGGCTCGAAGGACCATTTGTTGACTTCACTTATTTCTTCACCTTGGGTGCGGTGTTATACTCTCTTTTACTATTGCACTACTTTTAGTGAAAAACTCTTTAATTAATTTTTTAATCGTTAGTATTATATAATATATTTTTTGATAATACTTTATAATATAAAAAGTTCACTTTCTTATATTTGTGGTTTTAAATAATTTATAATACACTTCCAATTTATAATTTCACTTTTATTTTATGCGACGAAAATCACTCTGCGGGAACGTTTTTAATGTAGAACCTTATAGGTCACGGATGAAATCGAAAAGAGTGCCTATCCCGGTCTGACTGGTCCCTTTTGATCATTCAGTAAAAAACGGTGGTTGCAGTGTGGGTGTATAGTGTAGGTGTATAGTGTGGTTGGTTAATTGTATATGGTTGTGTTGGTGAGTGATATGGTGTGTTGTAGGTGGTGTATGTTGTATGGTATGATGTTGTACGGTGGCTGTGAGCTTAGTTGTAAAAATGTCGCGGGATTAGAAGTCGCATTAACAATTATAAAATTGAAACATATTATGTGATCTTTCTGTAGTGATCGATTTTCAGAATATATGTAAGTATATATATACTCATACATACACCCAGAGGTATTAGTCTGCCTACATCATGTCAATTAATTTTAATTCACAGAGTCGGAGAGAATGTTTAGCCAAGTTGGATTGGTAATATCTAATAGGAGAACAGCACTAAACCTGTCAACAAATTACTACTTTCAAACAAAAACAAGTGAATTATTGAGGAATAAAGTTCTCTACCGAAACGTATTTAGAGTATAAATTTCTTGATCATATTACATTAGTAAATGTATAAAAAATGTACATTTTAAAACCTGTCAGCTCTTATAAAAGTTTATATAGTAACATGAATATATGTATAATATATGTAACTTTATTAATTTTTTTGTTTTTCGTTAATGTTCATGTTTTGTTTTATTAATGAATCCATAGAATTATTTCATAAGAATTAGGTGTATAAAGCATCTTAATTTAAACCAGCGAAAAGTAAGTAGATTTCGAGGGGAATTATTATCCACAGTATATTTTTGAACTATCAAAACTATCGAGTGGTTCGACTATCGATAGTATGGCACCTCTTAACCATAAATCGTTGATTCGTCAGCAGTTATCACCCTCTGGAGCATCTGGGACGTCGCAGACTGAGTCCAACATATCTTGAGCAATGTCAACGCGACGCTCTTTTTGGTCGAAATTGAGCAATTTTGACACAAATTTCGCGGCGACCCTACTCATACCCAAATCATTGGTAGCAATCGAATGTTCATTAATGTTTTCGTCTGTTGTTGCCGTGCTCTAATATTCGGCACGCTCTTCGTTGTTCACATTTATTCGATCCTTTGAGAACATTTTGTACCACCGGTAATCGTTGCTTTTGTCCAAGGTAGCTTCACCGAATGTTGACTGTGGACATTCGGAATGCGTATGCGAACCCAGAATATTTGGTTGTCACTTAAGCAGCCATAAAAGTAGACGGATACTTTCAAAAGCAATGAAATTGGGACGTTGAAAGACGATTGTTATGTCAGTACTGCTGTTTGAACAGTATAAAAAGAAGTCGTTTTTGCATCGGATTGTGATTGGCGATGAAAAATGGATCTATTACTCTAAACACAAAAAAATATATGTGAAAACTGGCAAATCTGCCAAATCAACGGCATATTGGGGATTAGATTGAGTTATAATATCAGTTCGTCCGTCTGTGAAGGTGATATATTTTGGTGCACCTGTTTTTTTTGGCACCTTGACCCGGTTGGTATTGCAGACGCCAAATTATTCCAAATTAAGATACAAAACTGAAGTTTGGTACAAGGTATCGAAGTGGGAGGGGCGTCTATGAAGTATTTTGAAGAGTGGGCGTGGTCCTTCTCTCTTACAAATCACCAAATCTATATCAACCAAACTCGCTGAGGACAAGTTATCCCATCCACCCCTCGGAAAACAGCTGTTTAAATATCACAATTTTAAGATACTTATTGTTGACCTTTTACCTTAAATATTAGTCAAAGCGTCTTCTTCGGATAACAATGTATTCTGATGGCAAAAATTGAAAAAAACCAGGCAATACCTGTCCTAGCCCCAATATACTTAATAAAAGAATTTCAAACTCATTTGTCCTTGGTTGAGTTTATATCCCATACATATATTTTATTTAAGTTAATTAGGTTGAATTTAATTTAAGCATCGCGGACACGAACAAAATGTTGCAATGAAATTTTATAAGTATTTATGACCTATGGTATAAGTTAATAAGATACCAAATATGATTTATTCGAATATTGTATTTCGACCACATTTGCAACATTTCTATACCCGACCTTATCTCTTCCCTACTTTTTTTTGTTTGCTATTACAAAATTCTATTAAATTAATTAAAATTCAATTAGTTTTTTAAGGAATTGTTATCAATCAAGAAACTTTTAAAACAGCAAATGTGAAAATGAAGACCAATTTACTTGTTTAACATTTTTAGTAGATAAAGAATATTGAAAACATTAATCCAGTTGTAATTGACACCCATATACATAAGTCAAAATGAAATATAAATAAGTTTGTGTAAAATAGTAAAATGTTAAATAATAATAATGCAAAACCTTTTAATCTCACTACTACATCTCTTACGCAACAAGCGATTGATTTTATATTTTACTTATAAATTGCCGTAAAAATTACTCTGCTTGCCATATTTGAGAAACCTCAATAACTGTGGAACTTAAGGTTTCGGTTTGAAATTGCATTGGCTTTTATTTCATATTTTCCATAATCTCCATAAATCGGATAATGTGAAAGTTAAATTGTGGCGAACATAAATAAAATATCAAGTATTTATTTTGTAAAAATTTATCTTAAGCAATTTTTTATTCGCTATCAACTATACAATAGTAAATAAACATAATATGTTATTTACAAGAAATATAAATAATTTTTGTTCTCCAGTTGATGTTAAAATTATTTAATACTCGTAAATACACTTTTAATCATTTTATAAAGCGATATTCATACATGTAAATATAATTTACTATAGAATGGGGTGTTTTTTTTGGAATTTAGCTATAAATATTATTGGTTAGTGCGCAACAGTATAATAGAAGGAACTAAATACAAAAATTTGGCCACAGTACATATGACCAGACTTCAAACTCTTTTAGCAATTATTTGCATTACATATCAAAAAAAAAAAGTAATAATAATAAATACCTACATATGTATATAAAGATACTGGTAATTGATTTTATTTCGTAAAGTATACAACTTATGGAAATTAATTTCTTATTGACTAGTAAGAAGTGTTTATTTAAAATCACTATATATGTATGTATATGTTTGTATATGTATACACACGGCCATGTGTGTCTGCGTGTTAATCATGCACATGGTCTATAATGGATGTACTCTTATTTAAAAAGCCAAAGAAAGGGTAAAATATTATAGGTATACTAAGGTTGTGGCCAAACAGTAGAAAATGAAAATTCTGACAGATGAATGTGAAATTTTGACGTTTTTCGTTGTGAATCCGCAGCTCCCGAGCTCGGTAAAATTTTGAAAACTTACAAATATGAATACAGCTATGCATTCAGTTATGTTATAGAATATGTTATAAATTCTTAACTATTAATTTGTTCATATTTCTATTTATTCCATTCAATACAGAAATGATACTCTAAATGAGGAAAGTTCTTGACTCTCTTTAGCCGAAATATTGCAAACTTAAATTAGGATCAAAGAATTAAGTAAAAATATTATTTTTGTAGTTTATTAAAAGATGTAAATGTATTTAAGTATATATAAAGACATAATTATGTATGTACATATGTGTACCGAATGCAAGAAGCGTGGTAATAGCCTAGCACGTTGCCTAAAATTTTCTATCAAAACAAGTTCAAATTAATGAAGTTTTTTTAGTTTCATTAATATTGTTATTAGCAAGCAACGTATTTGCTTTACATTTAATTCATTTTACGTATAAATTTAATAATTTAAATAACAAGCAAAAATTTGAACGAGGCAATTGCGTTTGCTTTAAACTTCAGATATCAAAATTTTCCTTTCCATTTGGCACAGCAAAATGTGGAATTTGTTTACACCATAGAAACTTTTTTCACCCCAACTCCAAAATGTTAACGTTTGGCACACAGCCTAAGTAATATATATGTATGTATTTAACGGCCAGCCTTTTCTAAATAAATTGATTTGTAACTTCGCTGAACAGAAATGATTATAGTGAAACGACTAGGTATTACTTTTATTAAAAAATTCAATTATTAACGACCGTAAAATCATTCAAAATTATGTGAGCTTCAAATAATAATGTTTTTCTGCATTAAAAAGTTGGAAGGAACTCAAATGAATGTGGAACACTGCTTTTTATTACTTCCAAAAAGTTCCAGCATTTCTGACTTAATCGAAATTGGAGTAGAGTTTTCTATAAATGAGTAACTATTTTTGAAATCACAAAGGCAGAATTAAGTAGAATAGTTTATGTAGACCCGAAAACTTTCATCTGATTAATTGAAGTGATACTGACGTCAAATAAAAATATTAATTATTTGTTTGCTTCTATTAAAACTACATTATAATACAATATCCACAAAAAAGTATAGGAATTTTGAGATAATTTTTCGGTACAACATTAAAAAAATTCATTATGAACTGCCGACCTCCTTTTATCGTTACCTTTGTAAGTATATACATCAATGGCAAATATACATATATGTATGGTTATAGTTAAGGTATACCACGTGATAAAATGGTATATGTTTATAACCGTGTGCTTATGTCTTCCTACATATGTACATTCCCATCGCCTAATAAAATATAAATTTTTAATAATATTAATCTACAATTTGAATATTTAATCTATTAGTAAGAAAGAGGTCGAAATAGACAAAACCGCACCAAAGGAAATATAGTTAGGTTCACCCTGTTTCGCTCGCAGTTACATATGGTGGGTACATGTATTTACAAAAATACAATCAAAATGTTGCTATATAAAAAAATCGAAACTATTTTAATCGTAATTAATTGTAAGCACTTTTATGATCTAACTTTGTTTATGGATATATAAAAGTACATAAAGAAGTATTATATCTTATAACATATTTAAATATATGAACCATTAAGTGCCAAAGGTGCCAGAAGTAACAAGTTCGGATTTAGGCGTTATGTTTAAATTATATCTTCTATGGTATATGATTATATCTAAATACATTTACAAAAATATTATACTCGTATTAGCCCATGCGCATAAGATAGGCTGTTTCGGTTGTGTAACGGTTTAATATATTTTCAATATGGCTATTGGCCGGTTGAGGTTGTGTTTTGATGTGTACATACAGTATAAACTTGATACTCATACTTAGTCCAGTTTTTGACATTTTTTTAAGTTCAACTGTATATACTTGTAGTAGTGTACTATACATATGTACGTATGTTCATAGGGATGTGCGTACTAGCATGAATGCATACAAATGTAGGCGGTAAATTCCCTGCCGTGGTTTTTGCATTGGACTGGTGCGCGTGCGCAAAAGCGGATGCTCTAGATTCTAGACTACAGCTACTGCTATAGAAACGGTTGTAATATCTATAAAGCAACAACATATATATGGGTACTGATTAGCTCAAAGCTCTCTATGTGGAAACAGTAATGGATATATCTGCTACTCTATGGTATGTTGAGGTGAGCCATTGCCGCCGCCCATTATGAAGGAAGTAGGACTATGTGCAGATATGCTATCTAAATCCAGAGATCCTTCGCCTTTTTCTAGAACATTGGAACCATCTTGTTTCATCATCATACGCCTCCATTTTGCTCTAGCATTTTGAAACCATACCTACAAACAAATAAGAATTGGAATTAATAAATTAGTACAGTACTTATACCAGAATTAATAAATAAGAATATATTTTTTTATAAAAATATTGCGTTTATTTTATAAATCTCTAATTTTTATTTCTATATTAACTCAATAGTTAATATTTAATTACATATAGATAATTTATATTAAGATAATATTGACCTTTAAAATAAATTTTAAGTAGTTTAACTAACCTATAAATTTCCACCGAAGGTATAGTGGCCTTAAAGAAGCGATACAGCTAAATTTCGAATTCCGATTATACTCATGCCAGGCCAAAAGGCGATCAAGAGTATGCTCAAATCCTTCAGAAATGGGAAGGACCCGTCTTAGCAGTTTCATAATATAAAAAACTGCTGATAAATGTAAAAAAGGGTTCCTAACAAGCAGTCTTGGGGTGCAGACTTATCTTTGCCAAATTCAAAACGCCCAAAAATATACTTTTTTGGTCGATTTGATTTTGTGTTTCTAATGCGCTAAAACATATTTCACAAGATAAAATAAGGATGAAAATATCATGCATATCAACTTTAAATCATTTATCTCACGAAAAACAACATGTCGCGGGATATCCGTAAATATTTTACTTGATATTTTGCATAAGATATGTCATGAGTCATGACTCTATTCGCTTGACTTTATCTATAACATTATCGATATCATTTCTATGGAATTGGTATATAATGTAAATTCGAAAATATCGAGGCAAACAAATCGAAATTCATTGTTTATTTCTCCCCTCAAAAACCTTTTTCTGGAGCTGGAAAATTTTAATTTTAGGCCAGAAATATATAAAGTGTTGACAGTTTTTCTTGGCTCATCCTTCATTTTCCCATGACGTTACTATCAAGCACTTTGCGAAATTTTGGTTGGTTAGTAAAAAAGATAATATTTTACTTAGCATTATGTGCTCGCTATTAAAAATATAAAACGAGATATAAGGAATGAAAAAGAATTGAACAGGTTTGAGAAGTTCTGATATTTGATCTTTTCCTTTGTTTCTCAAAAGGAATATTGATTAATTTTAACAACCTTTTGATAATTAGAAAATTGAGCAATACTAAGCATCATATGACTTATAACTACTGTAGCCAGATATCCTTATTTTGCTTTTCTCGCGACATGTTGCACATTGGGTTGGTGTTTTACGTGAGTACCTGCCGGCGACGGCCTTACCTCACGGTGCTCCAAAGCACAACGTTTCAAAATAATGCGTTGATTAGCGCCCAAAGCGAGCTATTTACAAGTATTACAGTTGCTTGTGCAACTTCTTTTTTTGAACAGCCACCACGAATCTCCCCAAAGGGCCAAACCCAAGGAGCAGATTGGACCGAAGTACAAGGGCATTCTGCTCCCCGTGGTACTAGAGTGTAGCCGAAGCTACTGCCAGTTGAGCTACCCATTACTCAATGACTGGTGATATTTGTCGCTTGAACTTCAAATGTCTCTTTATTTGGAATCTCATTTAAAGTCTATAATATCATTTCAAGCTGAGTATTATAGCTCTATTTCTGACATCATTACTATGCTGATATTTCTAGGCAAAGTAAAATAACAGTCATAGTGCATTTGGCTTTTAGTCGCCTTTTACGACAGGCATGCCTTACCGCGGGTAAATTCTTACCCCTACCAGCAGGAGGAACATTGGGCAAAATCAGACTACAACACCGATTACTTTCCGTATGACATTTTATTTAATTATATAAAAGTATTTAATCTTATAATACAAAAATCAAGCGCCCATGAAGATATAGGAATAAAACTTTGCACTGCGAGTGTGGCATCTCTCATCTAAAAATGGAATATATTAGACCATAATAATGACTCTGAGAGCAGCTTTTTCTGATAATAGTATGTCGTGATGTCAAACATTTTTAAAATCGGGTCAATACGAGGGACGCGAGGGGCGCAATCCGCATACGTGCGGAATTAGCCGAGTCAGAAAAGGCAAAAAAGTTTTTTAGGTGCTGAGATCTAAAACTGCTCAGCTACAGAAACAACAATTTTCAACAGCTAAGATTTATAGTGACGATATAATAAATTTTTACCTTTTCATTTATTAAGAGTAAACAACAAAGTTTTTTAGTTTTGAAAAGTGAGTCAGATAAGTCAAATGTGCTGGAATGTGAATTAAAATAATGATATATACGGCGGAATGGATTTAGTAGTAGTAGTAGTAGTCCATACAACAGAGCCATATACAAATATAGGTCTAAAAAAAGTTGTATAAAGTGTTTTAGTAATATACGGATCTCTAAATTCTTTAGACCAACGTTTAACAAAACTGAGGACAGCTTTTGCTTTTGCTTAAAAAGCTTTACGTCGTCAGCGTATAATAAAATTTTTGAGAATTCTATTACTGAAGATTGTTAATAAACAACAAGAACAGAATCGTGCCAAGATGACTACCTCGCGGAACACCTGAAGAGACATTAATTGTATCTAAAGGAGTATCCTCAAATATTACTCGTTGTGTTCTATTATAAAGATAATAAGCTACCCATTTAAGAAATCTTGGCTGAAAGCCCAGTAGATAAAGTTTATTAACGGAGAAATCGAAAGGGTTATATGGTCAGTGATGATAGCTTCAAAATATTTAGGTATAACTGAAGCCACTTTTATGCAAAGGAATTGTAAATGACGGTTTCCATGTTGAAGGATATACCGTGTTTAAGAGAGGAATTAAATATCCTTGTCAAAGGCAAGTAAATATACTTGTATTTGGCACTATTTTTTAGGAAGCATGAGGGTATCATGTCTGGGCCGTAACTAAAAGATGGTCTTAACTTATTTAAATTAAGTAGGATGTCTTCTTCAGAAATAATTGGAGCGTTAATTAAAAGATTTCCTATACAGCACGTGCTGATAGGAAAACGTTTTAAAAGAATTATTACAGTAGTTTGACCTGAAAAATTCTGCAATTGGATATAATATCATTTTCACTTGAAATTATAGATTTATATTTCATCGCTGACGGAAATTTGAAAATCCTGCGTTTGGAGTTGACGAAATCATAAAACGATTTTGGATTAGTTACAATATTCTTTTTTACTTTATTTAAGTAATTATTATAACATTTTTTGTTTAGGTCAAAATATTTTCAACGCAATACAGAATATTTAGAATAGTCGACAAGTGAACCGTTTTTTTCTGTTTTTCAATTTATATAACCCTTTCGAAAACCAGAAGACCTAGAAGTTTGATGATTACTATTCCGTGTATTGCCTATGATTATGACAGATATTTCCAAAGCAGGATGATACAAGTCCTCTGGTAGAATAGCAATTAGCAATTTAGCAATTTTTTCCTCAGTATGATTTCTAAGTTTAGGTTTAAATTCGCGTACAAAAGTCCCAGGTGGCCAGAATGAGCTATCTAAAATCTTTTCGAATGTTTCAAGAGATACGTCTATTTTAAGCGATGATATACTTCTATCATAATTCAAGTTGAATTTACGGATATTGATATCATCAATTTTTAAACGAGACGAAATGTAAGACTTAATGTCCTCCACCAAGGTACCTTTGAAAAGTCTAGAAATAAATATAGATTTTTTAGGTGGAACAACTACCAAATCCTACTAAGTTATAAGGGGGAGAGTCTGGAATTGTGAGACACTTATTACTATTAGATAGAGCTTTTGGGGAATTGAGCTCTTTGCTTATCACCTTGAGGGCAAAGAGAAGAGAGATTTATTAGGTAATTTGAAGGAGACGTAGTCTTCTGTACAGAAGAACTAAGTGTTACTTCATCAGAAGGACGTTTACACTTGGGAGCAGGTTTAGAGGATTCGTAAGAATTATTCAGGCACTTAAAAGATTTGAACAATTTTTCGTAGTGCCTAAATTTTTCGGTGAGGGTTTCAAGATCTCGACCGATTTCGTTAAAGCCATTGAGTGTCTGCCTATAAACTTTAAATAGATCGATTTCAATAGATCTACAATTTACACAGGACCAACGCAATCCCTTACAGTCGAGAATAGAATCTAAGATTCTACCTGTCAGTCCAGCATATTTAATATGGGCAAGCCCATCACAAAGCCAGCATGAAACGTAGCGATCTGACTCGCCTTTAATGTTACAGTTGGGGAAGTTTCACGACATAATAAACAACAAAGAAGATTAAATGAAGATCAATTAAAAGAGTAAGTAAAACAAAATCTAATAGATATATAATAAATTAGTGTGTTAATAAAATATTAATAATAATAAATACAATTAAGAACAAACTCAAAAGTAATAACAATTTTTTTTATCAAAGTTCAAAACCAAGACAGGTGTGAATAAAGAAGTAGATGAGATAAATAAAGAAAGAAAATAAAATAATATAAAACAAAATGAAATAAAAGCTGACTCGGCACCAAAAATACGAACATTTAAACTTTATGATAATGCACAAAACTTAAGAACATTTATACTTATCTTGCAACTCGGAATCAAATCACTAAATATTCAATTAAATCACTAATAAAAATCAAATAAAATTGAAGATTTTTGTTAAATAAAAGACACATAAGTTCAATAGATCAATATGTAAGATATCTTAACAAAATTAGCCTAATATTGGATATGCCATAGTTTAATGCTGAAAATGTCTGAAATTAGACCAGGTGTATATATATTAGGCCAAGTAAAAAGTTCGTTCGGTTTTTATTTAAGAGATGGCGTTATTGTCCATAGTACTAGTGTTACGTGTCATGTCATACTATACGGCGCTGAAATCGTGTTTATTCGCGCTAAAAGTTTGTCCTTGACAGTTTTTCGATTGATTGACTCAGTACGTTGTGAGCGCTTGTCAAAGATGGACACCAACAAAGAAAAAATTCGCTATATTTTACAATTTTTCTTCGATCAAGGCGAAATTAATTTAGTTTATGGGAACGATACTGTAAACGAACGTGTAGCACAAAAGTGATTTGCTAGGTTCCGTTCCGGTAATTTCGATGTCAAAGATGCACCACGCGTCGAGAGACCTGTCGTGGAAAATTGCGATAAAATCATGGAAATAGTGGAAACAGACCGTCACGTGAGCACTTATTTAATTGCTGAGGAAATAAAGATAAGCCAGAAAACCGTTTGGAACCATTTGCATAACCTTGGATTCAAAAAGAAGCTCGATGTTTGGGTGCCACACGAACTAACTCAAAAAACATGATGGACCGAATTTCCATCTGCGAATCGCTGCTGAATCGCAACAAAATCGACCCGTTTCTGAAGCGGATTGAAAAATAGATCACTTACGACAATATCGAGCACAAACGGTCGTGCACAAAGCTCGGGGAAGCAGCCCAGACGGTGGCCAAGACCGGATTGACGGCCAGGAAGGTTTTGCTGCGTGTTTGGTGGGATTCGCAAGAAATCATTTACTACAAGCTGCTCCCCTATGGCCAAACGCTCAATTGAGCCCTCTACTGCCAACAACTAAACCGCTTGAAGGCAGCACTCATCCAGAAGAGGCCATCTATGATCAACAGCGGCCGAATTGTGTTCCATCAGAACAATGCCAGGCCACACACGTCTTTGGTGACGCGCCAGAAGCTCCGGGAGCTCGGATGGGAGGTCCTAATGCACCCACCTTATAGTCCGGACCTGGCACCAAGCCATTACCATATTCCTGTCCATGGCGAACGGGCTTAATGGTGAGAAGTTGGCCTCGAGAGAGGCCTGTGAAAATTAGCTCTCCGAGTTTTTTGCCAATAGGGACGCAGCCTTCTACGAGAGGGGTATAATGAGGTTGGCATCTCGTTGGCAACAAGTTTACGAACAAAACGGCCATATTTGACTTAAATCGGACAAATGTACACAAAGTTATCATCTTTTGAAAAATCAATAAAAAACCGAACGAACTTTTTACTTTACCTAATATAATATATACTACATATACGGGTACATATAATTATTGTCGTTGTTCTGGCCGAATATATCAGTCAGTGTGTGAGTTGTCTTCCTAAAAAAGCGTTAGTAATGTAATATTAATAAATTGGTATAAGGCGTGGTTTAAACTTCCTTAATATAGATTTTTCCGATTCTCTGGTTGATGTGTTCCACAAGTTTAAAATTGAGTCCTTATGCAACATTTTTATACTCTTGCAACAGCTACAAAGTATAATAGTTCTGTTCATCTAACGGTTGTGCGTAACACCTAAAATAAATCGAGATAGATATATTATATATATAAATTTATATATATATAAATGATCAGGATGACTAGACGAGTTGAAATCCGGGAAACTGTCTATCCATCTGACCGCGCAAGAGATAAATTGATTGACTTGGGATATGTTGATGAAACTTGGTAAATTTGTTCCTTGGCATCTAAGGGTGGTTGACAGCAGATGATACAAAAGTCCTGAATAGACCATATTGTAAAAATTAGACAGGGGGCGTGGCACCACCTACTTATAGATGAAATTTCATATCTGTAGTGCATAACATTATCCCAACATCCTTATATTACGCAGTGAAAATACGTCCACGAAATTGGTTCCTCGCCTACTTACTGAAACAAATTTTAAATTCCATATGATTCTTTCACTTAGCAGTATACAAGGTGCGTTCCAAAGTAAACAGGACTTTTAAAAAAAAGACAGAACAAATGGTTTTATCGGCTCCTTCTGCTTAAATACAGCTTTTTGCACGGTTAAAAAGCATGTCGCATGTATTGATTTTTGGTCAAATAATCGGCCACAAGCGTCGATCGATGAGACGGCGCATTATCGTGCAACAAACGCCAACTTCCATCTTCGTGATATTCGGGCCGAACACGTCGAATACGGCGCACCAAACGCTTCAAAACTACAAGGTAGAATACCGCATTAACGTTTTGGCCGGGTGGAACAAATTCTTTGTGGACCCTTGGAATCATAAAAACAAATCAGCATTGTCTTCACTTTTGACTTCTCCAGGCGCGATTTTTTGGGTTTCGGCTCATTTCTCATTTATGTCCTCACGACCACTTTGAAAACGTTGAAACCACTCGTGCACTCTGCTATGGGATAGGCAATCAATTCATTAAATTTGTTTCATCAATTGAAACGTTTCGGTAAAAGTTTTACCAATTTTAAAACAAAATTTAATGTTGGCTCTTTGCTCAAAGCTCATTTTCGCACCGATGACAAAAACATACTGACACTTAAAGCGCAATAACTTCACTTCCAATAAATGAAATGTCATGAAATTTTTACTGGAAATGGATGGCGCCACTAGAGTTTACTTTGTTACTTTTTTACTGTTTACTTTGGAACGCATCTTGTATAAATAAAGCAACAATACAGATATTAGGATAAAATTTTGCAAATATTTCGGTCAATCTTTGCGATATTTTAATGAACACTAACTGAATATTGATTAAATTGGTTCAAACTCAAACCCCTAGTATGTGGTAAACGTATCCGCGCCTCCAGTTACTTTTCCGTTATATATACGTTATTTTAAATTTTGTCCCTTTAATTGAGTTTATATTTCATATACCTTAGTTGAAGATATCTGAACTAAAGTAAGCAATAATACCTAAATTAGTTGGCTTTTTGCCATACTGTAACAAAATTATGGATATCGGTACGTACCTCCCCCCACCACTAATATAATGAATATAGACATTGTGTTAGTAGAAAATTTGTCATTGGCTTTGATCTTGGCAAATTGCTAGAGTATAAAAGCTTCGGTTACACCCGAACATAGCTCTTTCTTATTTGTTTAATATAAAGTTTTGCCAACGCTGAAAAGTATTCCTTGCCCATGATGATTTCTAAATGCAAAATGTCGTTTCTAACTTAACTGAAGAATTACAACCCAGTGGGCATCCAAATGACATTGTTACGAACAATATCATCCAAAAATCCAGAAAGAGATTTGGGATAACCGTCATACATTCAAATCCAAAACATTAACAGGCAATAAAGTAATGACGTCTACATTTTATCCATTAGCAGCAACTGTTTTAATTTGGGGTAATGGAACGGTTGAAGGACGAAATCGCGGAAAACGGTCCCAATTGAAAAATAATAAAGTGATGATTCATCAAGAAATGCATCGTGTCCACGACGGCAGAATTGCATTAAACTTATTTGCATGTTAAATTCCTTGCTTAGAGAATATGACGAGGTTATGCATGAAAATAGTAGGGAGAAAAAACAATGTTTTTTACCAGTGTTATTAGACGTCAAGAGTACGAGTATACCTGATGCAAAGAAATTTAGCGACAATGAACAGGAAATGGTCGAGACATACAAAATCGATCTCATTCATTGAAAGTGTTTACTTAAAGTGATATTATAGGTATATACGAGTACATACATATATTTCACAGATATAATTTATTGGCACCTTGATGGTATTTTGAAGCTTTTCCATCCTGTCGTAAAAAACACGTTTCTACATATAATGTTGCTTTTGCCGATTTGAACTCACGACTAGTCTATTTTTATACTCTCGCAACATGTTGCTACAGAGTATAATAGTTTTGTTCACTTAACGGTTGATTGTATCACCTAAAACTAATCGAGTTAGATATAGGGTTATATCAGGAAGATGAGACGAGTTTAAATCCGGGTGACTGTCTGTCCGTCCGTGCAAGCAGTAACTTGAGTAAAAATTGAGATATCTTTATAAGACGGTTGGTACTGCGCGTATGGGCGTAATCGGACCACTGCCATGTTCACAAAATGCCATCAATAAAAAACAAATTATTTGCCATAACTTAGCTCCACAATAAGATACAAGACCGTTGATTGGTATACAGGATCACATTAGGGAGGGGCATCTGCAGTTTCAAATTTTTTAAAAAAGGGGGTGTGGTCCCGCCCCCTAATAGGTTTAATGTGTATATATTCTAAACCACTAATGCTATAATAAAAAAATTCACTATGAACAAATGTTTTTAGCACCTCTATCCACAGTGTGAAATCGGGTGACAACAACACCCACTCCCCAGACAACGGTGCTGTTAAAAACTACTAAAAACGCGATAAAGCAAGCACTAAACATGCCAGAGACATTGAATTTTATCTCTGGGATGGTATGAGAAGAATTTATAGGAACCGCGTTTAAAATTAGACAGTGGGCGTGGCACCGCCCTCCTTTAGGTGGAAACCCATTTCTTGGGATCTGCTTAACCGCTTTCAACCAACTTCGGTACATAACATTATTCTCATATTGCTATGTTATAGTGAGAAAATGGACGAAATCGGATTACAACCACGCCTATTTCCCATATAACTCCATTTCAAATTCCATCTGATTCTTTCACTTACCACTATGCAAATCAAGCAACAATGACTCTTTATGCCACCCACTCTGTATGCCACCTTGTGACCAAAATTTGTCTAAATCGAGCCAAAACTGTTCCAGTGTGAGGTACATAATTGAAATTCATATAATAAAATAAATAAATGAAACTTTCGATAATAGTATGTTTTTGTGTCAAAAATGGGTTGAATGGTATCAATACTTCTTTTAGTATAAAATTTTGCCAACACCTGAAGTAATTTCCCGGGCTTTGATCCTTGCAAGTTGCGAGAGTATAAAATGTTCGGTTAAACCCGAACTTAGAACTTCCTTACTTGTTGCTTACTATTTATGTGGATAATAAAAGTATTATAAATTTACTTGTAAAACTCTCTTTGGCAGCCCTGTTTTTTGAGAAAGTTGTTTCAAATCCTTAGCATCCGGATTGTGGTTTATATTAAAGTAAGACTTCATCGTACGCAATTGGTGATGCTTAAAAGAGGTTCGCATCCGTTTCGTCCGGGAAGCAGTCATTTGAGATCCACGTCCAAAGTCTAAATATTCCGTATTTAAATCTATCGAAAATGAATGCGAAAGCTTATTAAATCTCGAGGAAATCTTCATTTCAATTAATAGTACTATTTAAAATTCAACCTTGTATGCAATAATAAAAAAGTTTACTTTTATCAATATACCTATGTGATTAACTCTCTCGTAATAATGTACAAACATATGTGTTATATATATATGCATTAGGGTGGGTCAAAAAAACTATAGTAATACTCTGAAAAATAAGTTCTTAGACACCTCTTAGATAGTCTCTCCAAATATGATCTCTTAATTGTAACGGGAATGTCCTCCGACTTACAGTTTTCTATATTTTTCTTATTATCAGATAGAAAAATTTAAATCTTGTTTCCAACTACTTAAAGAATATCTCGCTTCATAGATTTTGAAGGAAATTGAATGTTCAACAAAAAGGTCTCTTACAACTTTACTTTTTTCTTAAACTGAACCTTCTGAAAGATACTAACGATCGAAGTTTGATTATTTTAAGGTAAATATATTTCTTGTGAATAACTCAATGAAATAAAAATCATTAGAAATCGAAAAACTCATACATGAATACTGTGGGAAATTTACTGCTCTACAAAAGCGGTCCCCTAAAGCTCTGCCCTCCTATCCTGGCTGTGAAATTTAATGCTCGTGGCTCTTTTATTCAGTGAGTTATCGCACTTTTAGTAAATTTCAACATGGCCGTTATATAGAGAGTGGGCGTGGATATTATTTAATTTCCTCCATTTTCGCAGTGTATAAAGAGATGCTAAAAAGACGTCTTCTCAGCAAGTTTGGTTGAGATAGCTTCAGTGGTTTAGAAGATATGTATATTTAACCATTTAGAGGGTAGGGCCACACCCACTTTAAATTTTTTTTAAGCCCACAAGTGCCCTTTAACACCTGCACCAAAATTCAGGTTTGTATCTTCATTTAGTGCTTAATTAAGAGACTTTATAGGTTTTCGTTTATTGGTGTATTATAGGAGTGGCAGTGGTCCGATTACGCCACTGCAATACCGACTCCTCATGGGTGACTAGGAATACGTGTGCCAAGTTTCATCAAGATATTTTAATTTTTACCAAAGCTATCGCTTGCACGAACAGACGCACGGACAGATAGTCACTCGGATTTCAAGTCGTCTCATCACCCTGATCATTATTCTATATACAAGGTGCGTTCCAAAGTAAACAGGACTTTAAAAAAAAAGACAGAACAAATGGTTTTATCGGCAAAATCAATTAATTTTATTCAAAATAGTCTCCTTCTGCTTTAAGACAACTTTTTGCACGGTCAAAAAGCATGTCGAACGAGTGTTTTAGCTCGTTGCCCGGTATGTCCGCTAGTATGCCGGTGCAAGCCTTTTGAATGGCCTCCACGTCTGCATAACGCTTTCCTTTCATCGGAAAATGCATTTTTCCGAAAAGGTAGAAGTCGCACGATGCCATATTAGGTGAATACGGGGAGTGGTTGATTGTTAAATGTGATTTTTGGCCAAATAATCGGTCACAAGCGTCGATCGACGAGATGGCGCATTATTGTGCAACAAACGCCAACTACCATCTTCGTGATATTCGGGCCGAACACGTCGAATACGGCTCACCAAACGCTTCAAAATCCCAAGGTAGAATACCGCATGAACGTTTTTGACGGGTGGAACAAATTCTTTGTGGACCCTTGGAATCATAAAAACAAATCAGCATTGTCTTCAGGCGAGCTTTTTTGGGTTTCGGCTCATTTCTCATTTATGTCCTCACGACCACTTTGAAAACGTTGAAACCACTCGTGCACTCTGCTACGGGATAGGCAATCCTCAATTTTTTTCATCAATTGAAACGTTTCGGTAAAAGTTTTACCAATTTTAAAACAAAATTTAATGTTGGCTCGTTGCTCGAAGTTCATTTTCGCACCGATGACAAAAACATACTGACACTTAAAACGCAATAACTTCACTTCCAATAAATGAAATGTCATGAAATTTTTACTGGAAGTCGATAAAATGTAGCAGATTCTAACGCACTAGTCGACATATTGATGGTGCCACTAGAGTTTCTTTGTTACTTTTTTACTGTTTACTTTGGAACGCACTTTGTATATATCCATATCTCCATATCAATCTCGATTAGTATTAAGAGATACAAACAACTTGTGGACTTTTTCGTTACAATGAAGAGCTCTTACTTGGAGAGAATTTTTAGAGGTGTTTAAGATCCTATTTTTCAGAGTACCAAGCGAAAAAAAGTTGAATTTTTTTTAGACACCCTAATATATATATATATGTATATATATATACATATGAATGCATGCACATTTAAACTTAAAAACATTTCCATTAGTATTTTGCTATTTAATAGGTTAGAAGTATGAAACGTAAAAGCTTTAATTTGTTAGATATCGAAAATCGGTAATATAAATTATTCTTTCAGTATGTTTTACAAAGTCAAAAAATTTAAATTTGAGTACGAAGCACGACTCTTTAGTTGTACAACAAAATATTTAAATCGTAAACAGTAGAGTAAAAAGTGAGCAACGTGTGTCTAAACTGTTTTAATTTTTTGTATTACGTATATATTTTACTTTTATTTACCCATATTGGCAGTGAGTCCATCAATATCTTTAGGTTTGCGTTTCCGAGGTCTGCCTTTTTGCCGCGGCGCTTGCGTTAGTCCTGAGATTACATGTGAAGTTGGCATATATATGCCACTAGGAACAATACGAGAGGGATCTGAATGTGGACTGGAGGACTCATTTTGAGGAGAATCGAAGTCCGCGCAATATGCGAATGAACCTCCAAGTCTTGTTGACGCTGAATCGCCTTCGCGAGCGATGCTGTAATGAGTTCTGTAGAATTGATATATGTAAATGTTGGGCGTTATATCTTTATGTGTACATAATACCCCGAATATAAAACTTTACCTGCAGTATATAAGAGCATCTATAATTCCATATTGATCACCTTTGGTAAGTGGCGCATTACAAATCGTGCAACAGAAGCAATTTACGTGAAACACTAAGTTTCTGGCTCTCATTACTAATTCGGTCGAACTAATCGATGCTCGACATTTTGAACATCGCTTCGTCCCAAAGAAACTGCAAAAAAATAATTGAAAATTTGAATAACTCACAAACAATTTGTACTACAACCGTTGATGATATTAAGCTTTTGATTAAAACCAAAAATTAAAAGCTTCAATAAACGAATAATTTATGACGTTAACGCACATATTCCCATAGTGTTCTTATACTCTTAGTAACTCTCTAAAACCTTCCTAACATAATATGTTGTTGCCAATGGGTTTGTTTAATTATAATATTTAATCAGGATAGAATAGCTGTTGTTTATTCAGAATAGAAGGAAAAAATAAGCGCTGTTGCAGCGATCTGGAAGCTACTCAGAAATCAATAGTTAATCAGTAGAAATATTTTGACAATTTCGAATAAACAATTTAATATACAAGTATGTACCTCTAACTTTTGGATTGCTGAATATTAGCTGTAAACAATTTTGGTCTTATTAATATTTCATATAACTTGCAATATATTCTTAAATTTTGTAAAACAATATGCAAAACCATAAACTTTTTATATATTTTGCTTTTGTACTAACGTACGAGTATATGCATAAATATTTGACTGACAAAACATTTCGGTGATTGACTCAGAAAATAAAAGAATGGTTGTGGATTAATCGGTATCGTGTTATCCGGAATATTCTAACGAAAAAAACTGCTTACCAAACGTGTGGAATGTATACACAAACATGAATATACAAACATATCCATACATAACACATAGCACAATCCTTACAATACATTTAATATTAGTGCCCGCACGAACTTAGTCTTGTTTAAGTTGATTATTTAGAATGATACTTCCAAATCAATCACAGTAATTTTCGCACGTACAATGGCTATTATTCTCAGTTTGCCATTCATTTGTCTGCTACTAAATTATAGTTAAGTAAACTTATAACTTTTTTATCGGTCGACCATCAATATTTACTGATACACATATGTGGTATATATAATCTTCGGTATACACTCCTGTATTATTGAAAGCAATTTAGTGCATGCTACTGTATTTAACTCGCAACTCAAAAAGAAGCCCTATAAAGTTTACATATGCTATTATATAGCTATAAGTAACTGAAAATGTCCCTGTTGAATGATATTCGTATGATTATGATTTAATGTGGTAGTCTAAGCAGAATTTTAAGATGAAAGAAAAATCGTTTGCATATGAATACAGACTAAAATTGACTTTAGCTTGAAAATCGATATATTGTATAATGTATAGTAAAAATAAATCCATTAATTTTCCAATCGATGTATTAGTAATCTGCATTTCGCGTTGTATAAGTGCGGTTACGCTATATGGTGTTAGAAAATTAAGATTTCGTACTAAAAAATGTCTGCATGCGTCAAAGATGGACACCATTAAAAAGAAAATTGGCCATATTTTACAACTTTTCTTCGATATCGACGAGTCCGACCGTCGTGTAAATACTATTTCGGATATTCAGGAACTAAAAATTGGTTAACAAACAATTTGCAACCTAATAAAACATTTAAATTAGACTGGATATAAAAAGATGTATGAGTAGTCACATAGTGTCTTTCAAAAACTTCATGGACCGAATTTCCATCTGTGAATAGGTCATAGGGGAAGCATTTAGGTTCTTCAAAAGTGCGTCTACCGAGATATTTCAATCTCAGCCTGGCAAAGGCCGGGCAATAGAGAAGAAAGTGACTAGATGATTCCATCTCGTCTTCCTTCATACAGCTTTGACAAAGAGGGTCCAACATATCGCCTGAGTGCACCTCTTGGACAGTGCCCAGTCAGAACCCCTACCATAGCTGCGAGAGTGGCATTAAGTGCAAGTAGTTCGAAAGATCTCTTACAATTCACCTTGATCCAGAAGGATCTCGCAGTCCCACAAGTTCTGGTTGTTGACCAGCGCCTGCTTAGCCCACTGGAGATCCATAGGTCCAGCGCTAGACCGCAAGAGGACAATTTTCCGTCGAATCCGCTGTGATCGGGCACCCATACAAGTCTAATATGGAAAAAACTTGATGCTGTTACTAATAAGGTCATGCACTCCTTAACAAGTTTTGAGTGCACAGTTAGCGAGCTTAAAGCCAGTATAGCCGCTCGGCTATCAAAGTGAATACACACCTTTCTGAAGAAGGCGGTACTTTAGGAAGTATATTTCAATGTGTACCTGCCCGAAGTCCCTCATATACCCAGCTTCCCTAAGTCTAATAGTACATTTCGCTGTCAAGCACCAACCAACTATGTCTACAGGTGCGACGTGACATATGGCATTGAGTACAATTGTTGGTGTTAGCCTTAGTGCACCCCAAATGCCGATTAGGACCGCTCTTTGAACACGCATCAGCTGCTTAGATAGTGTAGTGTAGCCCTTCACCATACAACGACACCGTAAAACATTTTTTGCTTAGTTACGGTTTCATAGAGTCAGAACACTACTTTTAGTGAAAGGGGTCTCTCACTTCTTCCCAATTGCTCCTCCACAAATATATAAAGCGACCGATGCCTTCCTCACACCCTCTCCGATGTTTGACTTCCATGAGAGCTTCCTATCCAGGATAGTCCCCAAGTCGAAAATCGAATTCGACTTGGGGACTATCCTGGATAGGAATTCACTTCCGATGCAGTCGAAACGCTGAGCTGCCATGAGCGGTAACCAAGACATTCATTTAATACGAGCTGCTCCCATACGGCCAAGCTCTTAATTCAAACCTGTATTATCAACAATTGGAGCGTCTGAAGGTAGCAGCCGCCAGAAACGGCCAGCTTTGGCCAATAGGAGGAAATTTGTGTTCTATCACGACACCGCCACGGCGCACACTTCGATAGTGACTCATCAGAAGCTGCGAGAGCTTTGTTAACAGGTTCTTATGCATCCACCTTATAGTTGGATTTGGCCCCAAGTGATTACTATCTGTTCCAGTGTATAAATAATGATCTGGTCTAAAATTCCCATGGAGAGAAGCTTGTCCCAGTTTGTTGCCAATATGGACGTGGGTTTCTATAATAATTCTTTATTTTATTTATATACATTATATTATATTATAATATTTCATAGAAACTTACTGCTCACAATTAAAAAAATTTTGAACATTTTATTTTTTTAAAAATAGTAGTTTGAAACATAAGCGTTATGTGGGAGGAGGGTTCGGATATCATCAGAATTTAATATATTATATATATATATATACATCGCTTCGCTTGTTCCAAAGAAGCTATAAAAATTAATTAAATAATTAAATAACTCACAAGCATTTTGTACTACACAGAAAAAATTATATTCAGTTTTTTATTAATACCAAAAAATAAAAGCTCCAGAAAACTATTAATTTATGACGGAAACAAAGGAAAAATGAAGCGGATTGTTGCAGTGATCTGAAAGCTACTAAGTATAAGAAACAAGAAGAAAAATCAGAAAAGAAATAGTTAATCATTGATAACCATTTCGACATTTTTGAATAAACAAACTAATATGTTCTTAACTTTTGGATTGTATACAACAACAATAATAACCCTAAGTTTTTATATATTCAACTATCAATCGCCTAATTCGCTGTAATAAATGAGTATTTAAAAAGGACAGATTTAAAAGATAAGAATTTTATACGAAGATTTTTTTTTTTGCAATTTTATTTTTTTGATATGTAGATGCTTTAAATAAGTAAAAAATCAACACTTTGCTCGAATATGAACTGCCTATGTTGTCCGACAACTATGACTCTGCAATAAATAAACAAATAATTTATGAGATTTGTCATTGTGAATGCTCCTGAAAACAGGGCTACAGTAAAAGCTCTTGCTAAGATAGTGTGTGTTTATTAATTATACCACAATGTTTGTAACTTTCAAAAGAAAAAAAGCAGAGTGAATTTAGCCATGTCCGTCTGTATATACGATAACTAGTCTCTCAGTTTTTGAGATATCGGTCTGAAATTTTTAACACATTCTTTTCTTACCAACAGGCTGCTCATTTGTCGGGATCGCCGATATCAGACAGCTATAACATATAGCTGTCATACAAACTGGACGCTCCCAATAATGTCTTTGAATGGAACACTTTTTTATTTCACAAGTTATCTCTATGAAATTTGGCGTAGAGTATTATCCAAGGCAAAGCTACAATCACAAACATATTGTTCAAAATGGACCACTAGCTTATATCTGCTACTTAAATTGACTGATCAAAATCAGATCCCCCTGCGGGTAGGTATAAGAATTTACCCGCGGTAACCTAAATGCTGGAAGGACTGAATTTCAGTTCGAAAAAGAATTTTTTTAATTGTTTTAAAGTTACTGTACAAAATTATTAGGGATTTTAATATATTTTAGGAAGATAGCATAGAACCGTTAGCCACGTATATAATGCGAAACATGGACATAAAGAAATATAAAATATGCATGTAACCATACATAGTGGCACATGTACATTTAATCTGCATACATGCAAATGTTTGAAAATATAAATACTTTATACAAAAAATATGATGTTAGTTCCTACCAAGTTTCCTCTAGCGCCAAAAAAAACTCCCTACCAATCTGCTTGTCCGGTTGTTCGCCACATCCCCACCCGAGAAAAATGAATTATTATTATTGCCATGTAAAAGAGCAGGCAAGATGTCAAAGTGACATCTTTTAATATATGATTATGCCTTTGAGTGCTCGAAATCTGATATGTGCGCTCGCTCGTGATGTCGCTACCCTCACAATTCACAATGAAATTCCCACACAAGCATGTGCATATGGACGGCTATATTGTACAGATTTATGTACATGTTTTATTTATATGTATATACATACATACATACACATGTGTAAATATATACATATTTGTATGAATTATAGAACTGGCAAATTCTGCTCTTGAAACTGTTGCTGTAGCTGCAGTTGTGTGGTTGCTGCTGTTTCTGGTGACATCGAATCGCCCGCCAAGCGTGAAAACAGCAATGAAGCAACAAAGCATTACGGAGATGGTGAATGAGTCTAATCTTGTCTGGCCTGATGTGTCTACGATTTCAGTGTGGAGCTTCTGTAGTGGTCGT